TTCGATTTTTCGATATTTTTGCTGAAAATAGTTTGATCGAAAAAATATATTTTTCAGGTTTCGAAATTTTCAATTCTTCGATTTTATTAAAAAATGAATTTCCATGTTTTCGATATCATGTAAAATTATGATAATTGCCGTCACCGCACAATATTCAGCTTATATTCGAATCGTTCAAACCTGGCAAAATGTTTGCCATCTAATATTTTGGGTATAGCTTGGAAAATATTATAAAACTATCTAAAGTTTGGGTAAGGGGTTAGGTTTAGTGCTTAGGGTTAAAGTTAGGATGAGGGCTGATGATTTAGAATTAAGGTTGGGGTTCAGGGTTCGAGCTAATGGTTAACGTTAGGGTTTGGGTTAAGGGCTTAGAGTTAATGTTAGGGGTAAGGGTTGAGAGTTAAAGGGTTAGGGGTTGGGTTTTAAGGCTTGGGGTTACTCGGAGTTTTCGAAATCTATTCTGAAGCCATAAAGCATTCTGTAATGAATCGAAAATGTCGAAAAATTCGAAATGCATTTTGTAGTTATATATTTCTTAACTTAAAACTCGAAATATTATAGGAATATCCTATGGTTTTGAAAAAATATCATTTATATCCATGAGTGGATATTGATATCTTTACGAGTGAGCGCAGCGAATGAGTGAAGATATTGATATCCATGAGTGGATATAATTGATATTTTTTCAAAACCATAGGATTGTCCGTTTATCCCATGTGAAATCTTAACCCAGCGAAAAAAAAATTTTTAAAAAGATTTCGAAAAAAGTTTTTGAAAAAAAATTTGAAGGAAAAAAATTTTGAAAATTTTTTTTGAAGGAAAACATTTTTGAAAAAAAAATTTGAAGGAAAAAATCTAAAAAAAAATTTTAGAAAAAAAAATTTACAAAAATTACTGAAAAAATCTAAACCCTAAACCATCGAATATCACTTTTGAAACCATCGAATATCACTTTTTGAGAAGTGATATTCGATGGTTTGAGAAGTGATATTCGATGGTTTGGGGATTTTTTGCTAAAATATGATATCTTGATCTACATATCAAATATATCTTCACCTGATATTCGATATATATCCTTGTAACCATTGGATAATCGAAAATATCGATTTTCTTCAAATACATATCGATATACTTTTATGCTATCGAGATTATCGAACGGATCACCAATCGAAAGGCTTGTATGTAGATTATCGAAAATATCGAAAATATCGAATTGCCAAGAACCTGGAAAAACCTCTGAGTTGAGTGAATCAGCCATGCATTGTGCCTTCGGTTAAATCCTTTTCACATACTGCAAAATATTTTATCACGCCTAACCATCGATAAAGTACAGTGACAAAACACGCCGTCGTACACTTTAGATGTACGGTGTCACTATTAACTGATTTGAAGCAAAGACAATGATGTAGGTTTGATGTAGGTTTTAAAAAAATATCTGAGGAATACATTAAGGATTTCATGTTTGATTTCGTGTGTATTCGTTTAGAAAGACATTTAACTTTCTAATAACACGTCAAAAGATTTTCGAACAGCGGTCGATTATTTTCGTGGTCAACGTGGTGGTCTACCCATATAATTGGATCGGTCGGAAAATGTAAAATAAAGCCACATTTTCCAACCGACCAATTTAATGGGTAGACTGACCACGAAAAAAATAGATTTTTACTCAACTATTCAAAAACTGTCAAAATACTCGTAGATTACAATCACAAGAAAAAACATTTGTTTACCTTCTGTCCATGTGCAGTTAAACTTTTAAACAGATTATGACATTGATGAAACATTTGTTTGATTATTGAACAATGATTATATATTTGCTAGGTTACCATTGCTTTTCACATGTATCAAGGCAGGATCAGAGATACATTATATGGGATGGCTGGAATTCTGAAATAAAAACAAAGAGCGCTCAATAATTTGTTAACATAATTTTAGCACGCATTAATGTTTCCATTTATCCTACACAACATCCCATACATTATTATGGTATAATTGTCTAAGTTTTTATTTTAAATGCATAATCTAAAATCTGTGAATGTTAACTCTAACAAAATCAACACGGAAATTAGTTCCTTATCGCAAATGAATGTTTTTTTATCAATTCATTATTGCTGGTTAATCTCTATGATAAATGCATTTTGTGATTAAAACTTGTTTATTGTTATGTATCAATATGCACGCCATAAGTGTAGTACTAATAAGGACCAAAAGTATTTTATTGGAATATTAAATATTACAACCGGCAATCAAAAGGAAGCAACCCCCAGTATCCCAAACAATGATCTAATGTAAAGCCTTAACACAAACAAAATCACCAGACCAGCACAACTACGACCTATTTGAACTGAAAAACGTCTTTCCTGTTAATCTGAGTATTGTTCTTGTTTTTGATTTGGTAAAAACCTCCGTGGTCTCCTAAAACCGAAAAGTGGGCCCAAATTTTGAAAATTTGAGGCCCATTTTCTTCAAAAATTTGGCCTGATATTAAAAATAAGGCCTTAAGGCCTAGAAATGACCAAAAGGCCCACTTTTTGAGGCCTTAAGGCCTTTTTTAGCTCAAAATATTTTTGGACTCAATTTTTTTTTCTCTGGGCCCAACTTAGGGCCATGGGCCAGCCACCCCCCCCCCCCCCCCCTAAGTTACTAATAAGCCAAATGGATTGCTTATGAACACCAAATGCGAGGTATTGTAGTGTGTACTTATTCCTATATTTATTTATGCTGCATAATTGTGAAGCTACTGCCACCTGCATACGGTTGCCGCAGATAAGGATGGAATCATGCATTGGCAAAATTGTTTTCGAATGATAAACTGTTGACCCTAGTCGACACTCGATCTTCATTTTATATATTTTAGATCTAGTAACTATGCAGTCGCTACTGACTTTTATTTTAAGCTGACTGTTGTCTTGGCAATTATTGAAAACATGCGCATAGTCAATAGTATAGTATATGAATGTTGACCCAAGTTAATTATAAGCTGCCCATCACTGGGGGTAGTAATGGGTGACACTCAGATATAATGTATACTGTGTCTCATAAGTCGGCACCGGCTGGTGATGTTACAAAATGTTGTTTTTATTATGTATTTTATATGTATATTGTAATATCAGTGACACAAAAATAAACTAAAATAAAATAGATATCCAAGTGCTAATGACTATTTAAATAAATCCAGTATTTCTTACTTTTGATCCTGCATTCTCGAATATATATTTAATCAATACCTTTCACAAAGGAATACCCTGATAACGGTAAAGTCAGATACCGTTGTCATAAATGGCAGACATCACCGTCGCTTCAACTCTTTATCACTTGGTCCTCGTTTCATAGGACTTTATCGTCGCCAATTCTGTGTATGTATTAAGCTCTTGTAATGATATATTATATAAAAACTCAATTTCTATCAAATGGGGTCGTGAATCGCCACAATATAGTGTCTTCGATATCGTCAATGACAACGGAATCTGAATTTGAAATACTTTACAAAGACAACGGCATATGATAAGATGTGACAACGGACTATATGTGGATGTATTACATTGGAACATAGGAAAATGACAACGGTAAATAGACACTTTAGTTACCGTTATCTTTACATATACCGTCAAATATTTCAGTATGAAAAACACTTTGAGTACCAAAGGAATTTTATCTAGTCGCTCTATTAAACATGTACAGTTCAAGAAAACGGGTATGTCCGCCATTTGTGACAACAGTATCTGACTTTACCGTTGTTGTGGTATTCCGGTGTGGTTTGACTTTGCTACGGGGTCAAGGGGAACAACAGTCTTCGCAGATATATCTTTGACCATCTTTATAATATCTATTGCGAAATTCTCTCTAATAATAGCCAATCTTGATAATTTTAGAAAGAATATCATATCACCCATACAGCTATAATCAATAATGTTTTTTATTTAATTGTTGCATTTGATATTACTAATTAACAAATGTAGATCCGGTTTCTTTTGACTTTATTTTGTTTCCGTAAAGTGAAAATATTAATGTCTCATACAATAGCTAATGAAAATACTGAATTATCGTAAGTCAAATGTAACAAAAACAAACCATTTTATCAATACAGAAGTTACTAACGTAAATGCTGAAATCTTCAAACAATTGCTGACGTGTTTTCTGTAGGGATGACGATTATTTGGATTTGATAGAAAAACAACCATTTACATCAATAGCCCAAAGGTTAATTTTTGATACTGTTGGAGAACTTCGGAGAGAAATATCTTGATTTAGAATAAATGTAATTTGTACTGTGGGGAACAGAATGTAATAACACAACTTCTGTTTGCAAGTCGTGTGATGCAGAACCAATATCACACTTTGACGCCATCCATAGCACACGCGTTGACGCTTTAGTCCGCACTTTCTGTCGAAAACTATCTTATAAAGGTATACCCCCATACACCATAAGAGAGGATATTAATGGTTTTTAATAAAGAAATTACTTGTTATTATGATCGACTGATATATGTTTTAGTGACTTTTGTAATGTGCGAGTTAGAAGTTTGTATTTTAGAACATCATTTTTTTTCTTAATAAAAAATATATTTATAAGACAACAGTCTTAAAAAAATAATAAAAAATAAATAAAAAAAGAATAAAAAATAAAATCAATGTATTTATAAGAAGCATACATGTGTTTGCAGGCGTATAATCCATAGATAAAATGTGCATTTATCAATAATACTTCATAACATATAGATATGATAAATATATTTAAATTGGTAATAAGTAATTTCTTAACCACAAAGCAATAATTGCACAATTTTACAATTAGCCAACAGGTATCGTATCTCTATTGTAGTGATAATTCTAAATGCAAGTAATCACAGATGATTCCATCGCAATAGGGTACAGATCAATCAAGTCTTCATAAAATAATAGCGATGGGAATTGAAAAATCAATGTATATTTTTATCGGGTTAAGTGCCATTTAAATAGTCGGATACAAATATAACGATTCTTTAGTGATCAGACAATCAGTGGAACATAAGCTGCTGCCTTGGCCAAGCCAGTAGCTATAGTTACCACATCAAAAGTCAGTAGTTATAGTAACCAATCCCGAAGACTCATTTGGATGTAACTTTTAGATAGACAATGTATATCTTTAATAGGAAAACAATAGTAAGTAATTAATCTTATTTAACATGTATATATTATATATATATTCATATATGTCTGTTTATAATTTAAATATGCTACTTAATGCATTAATGTCTCATGAATGGTATCATTTTGCTAATATATAATAATGACATTATGGGACATAAACAAACATGAAAAGCCACTTCGATAATAGACTGTGCACTGTTACGACGTGACGCTTATTTTGAAAATTCTTTTACAGAGATTTCGACAATCTAAATATATTTACAATTGTAGTCTCATAACGTAGTACACTTTTATTTTATGGCTCAACATGCCTGATGGAAGTACAAACGATTATGTAAAACCAAAACTTACAAAAACCTATACCAAAAGGAAGTTTAATGCACCTATATGTTGACACATACGAGTAAGCAACAATGGAGAGGTTTCTTAACTGAAAGTGAAATTTCTTTTTAAAAAGGTCGTTGGACCGGTGTGAAAGAAATTATGGTCCCTGGGGATTATGGTCCCCTTTCTTAAAGGCCCTTACTGGCCCTGATTGTGGATACGATAATAAGGGAAAGAGTTGTATTTAGGTCACCATATAAATCAATGGAAAGTAGGACCATAATTTGATAGGACCTCCTACCCTTTTACACCTGGGTTTTCCTAGGTTATACAAGGTGGCACAATATAATTGCAATCCCTATTTTGGAATAGGTTGATCAATGATTATTTAAGTGCCAAATGGTAGTAGTAGTAGTATTAGCCTGTTGTAGGAGGACACGCTGCAATTACAAACTCATTGTTTTTATTGGATGACTTCAGTGATTGCTTCCTATGTGAGCAAAACAACCCTACAGTGTAGGTCAGATATACAGAGTTCATCTGTCAAAATAAAAATCTAAACAAAAGGAGATATAATTAATCTGCATTGTGTAAGTGAGGTCCCTGTCATGAACTTTTTTATATTGTATGTGCATGTATTATTCCTTAATTATGTCCATATCAAAAATTCTTTTTCCATATTTATTGATAATGTTTGTCAGTTTATTGGTAATGGTAACTAAATATACCATTTTATTTTCTTCGGTTATGAATCTGAACGGATATTCAGTCAATATAATGATAATTGAACTACTTTATAGGCATTATATGACAGAAAATACTTTTATCTTAAGTTCATTTTTGTACCTGGATAATTCTGTTGTCTGTGTTAGTACAGTGTCTGATGTCAGTAATATACACTACTAATGGTGTAATAAAGTCAGCTATTATCTATTTATGGCCATCCATAATTCAACAAGAATTCAAATCCACTTTTCATAAATTATCATATTTCATATTATAATTTCTTAAATAATCTATGAAAAAGATACCCCGAGGAGTGTATATCTCATGATTTTTTATATTTAATTACCATTCATTTTGACAGATCGTGTGTTTATCACATGACTGTGACCATTGCCTCTTTAAAAGTATTTTATTGAAATTGAATCGAGCACTGATGGATGTTACTTTTATGTTTAAAGCAATCGATTAAAGTACAACATACACGCTGTTATAGCATGACGGTTACGTCAACAAGGCGATTTGCAAAATTTTGCGGTAACGATAACAAAAAATGCCGGATTTGAAAAACAGCATGTCCTCTTTCTCGCCTGTAGGCAAGTTTCACAGATCAAATTTCCTTGTAAACTAGTTCCATTCGGTGACGTATATATGGATGGTTATAATGACTGCCAAAGACAGGTGGTCCACAAGAAGTAGGATATAAGCTGTAAACCTACCGGCTGAGATATCCAAGTTCATAATTTTAAGTCAATTTTCGTGTTTTCTCAGTATACGTGCCTCAGAGCCACTCAAAATATTAACTGTGTGTAGACCCTATAAACAAGCCATAAAATGACAAATCCAGAACAGGAATGTGGTGTATATTATAAATAATAAGGTTTCAAACGCAAGGTCGTTAGACGACTACGTATGAATTGTATGATTTTTATGGACTGTAACGTATTGTATTAGTTGTGACGTGTCGCAAAAAGCTCGCGCACGCATTGTTACACATTTTGTGGCGTAATCCAGAGGATCCTCTCTTTTAACATGATAGAATGTGACGTTTTTGAGAAAAATGTACACACATGAAAATCCTTTCGTCCTCCACATTTACCTCTATATCTCAAAACATTTTAGACGAATAACTCTGATATCATATATATATTGTTAATGGGCTAGGAGCATCATAAAACACGAATCAATTGATATTTTAAGTGAAATAAATATACGTGTTGCTGTGCTTGAAAATAGGCGAATGGCGTAAATTAGCCCTATTTTAATGAATTTTGAAAACCTTTCGTCCTCCACTTTTCCACATACAACAGAAAACACAAAAAATAGTCCACTTCTAATACACATACACACATTTATATATTTTAACAAATACTTTCTCATACTCAGCCAGAATACAGACTGTTCACTCGCATTTCCATCTACATACACATTTCATATACATATTCCATATACATACTCCATATACACATTCTCATATACATATTTCAAATACACATTCTCACATTCATATTCCATTTACACATTCTCATATACATATTTCATAATACACATTCTCATATTCATATTCCATACTTTTGTGAACAAAATCAACTATTTATTAATAAACTAGAGTTTAGGAGCAAAATAATCATGTATGATTTATTAAAAATTGATCTCGTATTTTTTGTTTAATGTACACCTGAAAAGTTGAAGGTACCAAAAAATGAGCAAAAAAGGTCGCTGTCAACAGATTCTATTTTTTCAGACTCTATGACGTCACAATATGGGACGCTTACTAAAATTCATCCTTTGAAATAAAACTTCCATCTACCTTTATCAAGACGAAAAATAAGTATAATAGTCATATATTGTTTGAGTTATGAGCGTTTAAAGACGAAAAATAATTCAAAATGTAACGTGTCAACATGGGATATTTGCCAGATGTTTTGGTAAAAAACTCTTTTTTAAAAACGAACGCGCAAGAAATGTGAACGGAGTGTAGTTGATCTAAAATCTTCATCGAAACAGCTTTAAAATGATACATAACTTTAATTATAATTTTATCTTATAATCCGGAGAATCAAAGTTACATTCACGCGATACCCTTAAAAAACAAATGCGCCACCTTTTTGCGACACGTCTGTACATTAGATATTTAGCGGACAGTTACGTGCATATACATCTGTCAAGTCAAAGTTGCTAGATCTGATAGCCTCTTTCCATTTTATTGTTATGATGGGTAAGAAATGGAATATCGAATTACTTGTTTTCAGGACACGCAAGAGACGCTCTTATTTGAGCCTCTATAGGGCAAGGAAAAAACAAAAGTGGCTTGCTTTATTGATGAAACAAATGAAAGTGAAAAAGATAGCAATGAAGAGGCAAAAGAAGAGTTGGCATTAAGTACTGATGAAGATGACAAAATTAATAACAATGAATCGGGGTTTCATATTTGAACGAGGTTCACGTAACCGTCCATCAATTTCTTGCGTTAACGCAAATCCAAAATACATTATTATGGCTTGAGTAGAACATATTAGGTGGATTTCTAATGCTAAATTGGCTTTGTATGATCGTATGTCGGTTACATCTATATACCCCATGATTGTTAGGTAATTTAGACCAAAACCTAGAGACAAAAATTACAAATTACAAAATGATAAAAGCGTGAGCATTAAAATGTTTATAATTATGTAGTCATATTGTAGGTGATCAGAATTTCGATTTTTGAGGCTTGCAAAGGTAGGTTTAAAATGGTGACAACGGGTTTCAATCTGTTGTAATGACACTTTGAATACACAGGCAAAAGTCAGGCATATTAGTAACTGGCTATTTGATATCTATTCGTTCATTGATACACAGTAGTAGAAAATAATACACCAGCCTAAAATTTCTGTTGGCTATTTTATTGGATAAATCAGTAAACGTAGCAGTCCAACCTCGTTTTTAGAGGTGGTGTAACCGTCATAACGTAACCGCTATAACAGCGTGACATACGTTTTTATCATTTCTTTCTTTCAGTATAGTTTAATCTGCATACAGAAAGTATTGACAATTCGCCGAAAGGGCGTTTTGAATAACCGACCCCTGCCGGTCTTTCGTCCTGTTGGTTCCTGTCGTGAATAGTCCGAGACACGACATTTTTATTTATTCCATAATCAGTTATAATTGTTCAATAACGTTACCTACCAAAAGGGACCCTAGGCGGGGGATATGTTTTAAAAAGTTTAAAATTGAGCAGGGGAATGTTTTACTTTGAGAGGACCGACTGATTTTATATGCCTATTTTAAATCATCTTTTGCAGTGTATGTTAGCAGCTTTTACAGTAACAACCGTGATTATAACAACCACAACAGATGGCGCTAACATAAACTTGACAGAGACCAAATCAGATGATAGTAAGGTATACTTGTTGATATATGTACATTGACTTAGCTCTAATAATACAGTGAACGCCCCCTCCATTAAATGCGTTTGATAGTTTGATTTGACGTCCTAATATTCTTCCATATGAAGCATACAATCTGTCGTTTTATCTATTTTCCAAGTCTGAAGGGGACGTTGCACATATATTAGCAAAACGCCGAAACGGAAACTACCAACGAATCACGAAGCTGAATGATATATACCAACGATTATCATACATTAAAGCTAAATTAACAGCAGGTTATGATAAGAAACTTGAGAAGGAATCAAGAAAACTTCAAAAGAAAATATCAAAATATCAGGTAATATCCATTAACTCAATTCTATCTAGAAATTTTAAGCAAATTCGAATTCTTATCTATTGTATTGTCTTATACAAGTAAATGCATGTACAGTGTATATACGCCTGTTTTGATTTCCTCTTTATACTTAAAATGTATCCTGATCTAAGGTCTATTGGCAACCTAGTCTTTCATTGGATGTTTTATCCATGGTATCGTTCGATGTTTATATCTGTTTCATTATTTTATTAATGAATTCTCGCACTTTCAACCTTTGCACTTTATATTTTCTATGCAAGGTCTCCCGTCACTAGATGAAATAGACCATGATGGTTTAGTATTATAGGTACACAGTTTGTCAGGATGCCTATACAGCACTTGGAACTATCCCCTGGATTAGTCTCCCGATGCGAGATATATAACATTGGCCAAGAAATAATCCCAGTATCATTTAACCACTACAGGATAGACATATCCATAGCTATATCCTCCTCGCTGATGAATACATGTATACAAATCAACCAAGTATAGAATAGATATGCATTGGGACTTAAAAATATTACCGAGCGTATACTTCCTTTGCCTCTCTGCCTTAATTACTACCTCGGATTATCACCCTGTATTTATTTCTTCTTATTTGCATACTTGCACAGAGAAAACTGAAGAAAGGTACTAGTGATGGTATTAGCTTCTACATTGGCAAAGATGATCCTCTTGATGACGAATTGACTCTCGCTTCTCTCTCTACTTTCTCTTTTCCTCCCAAAGTAAGTTAGACTGAAGCAATATTACAAGAAATAAGTAACGTATATATAGGGTGTCTCAAAAAAATGTACCCAAAAGTATATCAACACCACAGACAAACCAATCAATATTTTCAGACATTTTTTGCATGGTCGTGTAGATAAAAGATGAAAGTTTTTTCCCCCATGCACAGTTTTTAATTCAGTTTTGCCTTTTTGATACTTTAACCCGTTACCTTTTACACCACATATTCAATGTAACCTCATATTTCGATGACAGTCTGCATCCTTACTACTACATTGTTCATCACATTTTATATTTCTGGTGGAATGTTTTGATTTCTGTTTGGATGCTGGTCTTAAGTTGTTATGGGTCTCTTAGCCTGGGTTTAGCATAAAAATGGTCCTTCAAATAGCCTCAGAGAAAAAAGTATGGGCCGTCAAATATGGGCAATAGGGAGGCCCTCACAATGTCTTATAGCCCCCTTATACAGAGAGGTCAGAGGTTCAAGAAACTGCATTGGCTGGGATTCTAGTGTAGCTTTTGTTGTGTGGATCAATTTGAGACCACTGTGTTTTCATTTGGATATCATTTGGTCTCCAGGCTAGCCTGCCTAACTCTGGAAGGCAACTCCTGAATCATTTGCCGATAATTGACCTGATTATCCGTGTTTGTTCTGCCATCGTCATCCTCAAACATCTTTCTCTGTGGCTATCTGAAGGAGTCTTTAAATGCTCATTCCAAGCAAAAAGACCTAGAACAGCTTAAGGGCAACATCCAAAGAGAAATCCAAAACATTCCACCGGCATTATTATCAAATGTGATGAACAATGTAGCAGTAAGGATACAGGCTGTCATCGGAATATGAGGTTACATCGATAATGTGGTATAAAAGGTAAATGGTTAAAGCATCAAAAAGACAAGACTGAAATAAAAATGGTGTATTGAGGAGAAAACTTTCATGTTTTGGCTACATGACCATGCAAAAAATGTCTGAAAATATTGATTGGTTTATCTGTGCTCTTGATATACTTTTGGGTACATTTTTTTGAGACACCCGATATATGCTTCTTTGATTCAGAGTAAAATTAAAATACACGTACTTTTAACTTTATGCATGTGCATGCAACAGCCTAGAATTTTAACTCCTAGATCTACATTTTATGTTTTTATATCCTCCATCTTAAAGATTAGCCTGTATTTAACTATTTGTTGGCGTACTTGCACAGACCAAACCCAACCAAAGCCCACGCGCTTACGGTGATGACACTAGCTTCTACACTGGCAAAGATGGTACTTTCGCTGACGATTTACCCCCCTCCTCTCTCTCTACTTTCTTCTTTCCTCCCAAAGTAAGTTGGCCTGTTCGGCAATGTGGGTGCACCATAAAAATACAAAGATAGAGTTAGACTTGCTTGATAGATTTATTGTACTGTACGTACGATTTAATACACATGTTTTTATTTTCTGCATGTTCTGTCTTAGTGTATAATCTTTCTTCCGATTATTTACAATTTATTGATTTGTAGTACAAATGTAGGGTTGGCCAGAAATGACCACATTTTTATTTCTAAATATTTTTAAAACTATAGGTTATCAAAAATGTTCTAGAAAAATAAAAACGTGGACGTTTCTCGAGCCTACTCAGCAGAATTTCAAATTGTTACTGAACAGAAAACAATCTATATATTTTAGAAACAACAGAACTGGAAACTCAACATTTGCTTTCAAATAGATCAGCAAGTTGTAAGTATATCAATAATTTTTCTATAAATAAGTTATATTATCATAGAATGTTGTCAGCACCATCTGTTATATGCAATGTCCAAACCAACATGAATAGTTTTATATAATGCCAACTTCAGTCAGTCTACTCTGTCGTTGATATATAAAGGAAATATTCATTGATCAGACGTTCATAGAATTTTGTCAATTTTATCCAATATGTATACACAAGTACCAACGGAATATTATAAAAAAAGGTTACAGAACACAGCAATGAAAATATAACATTAGAGTACACCAGTCATAATGAAAATAAACCTTAATTATCCCAAATCATAACCCAAAGTGAAAAGAAGCAGTGTCTAATACCCCTCACCCTCACCCCTCACCCTTCAAGTACCAATATCACAATCCAAACCAAAACATCGAGGGACATTTCATTCATATTGAACAATACGTTTAAGAATAAACATCTTATTATTCTCTAAACATGAGTGCCTGGAACAACAACTGGTTACAAACAATTCTGTGTTTTATCTATTTCTCATATTGAGAAATTCAATATACCTCACAATTCAAGTACCAATATCACAATCCAAACCAAAACACAGGGACATTTCATTCATATTGAACAATACCTTTAAGAATAAACATGATAGCCAATACTCAAATTTAGTTGAAGATGCTAGCATCCATACAAGATTAGCATTCAGTCTCAAATGATGTGGGACAGACAAAATCCAGTTTCGAAGTCCATAAGCATATCAACGAGTCAACACCCTTTTACTTTTCAGTATGATTCTTTTACCCTGGGAAGCCCAGGTTCCACAAGGGCACACGTAGAAGCATTTTTATTCCAGGCAATGCAGAGAGCTAATATGGTAGTATTGATATTTATAATTATAAAAAGCACAGTAAGCAAAACAAACAAAAATTCCAAATAAAACATCCTATAAACAATACCAAATTTAAGGTAAGGCCTGGTTCACCTGCATCTAGAATTCAAGGGGCGATATCGTATAATATAAGAGCTATGCTTAGTAAATCAAATAGCCAGGCATTTGAATAACTAAAAGATTGATAATTTAGTTCTGTTTTACGGAAAATAAATGCATACTTTTTCTTATTTTGGGTGCAATCTGGGGTCAATTTGCCGAAATATATTTTCCTATCGAGGATTGGAATCGCATTTGTTTAATTTATTTCGAGAAAAGATCATGAAATGAAAATATGGTGTCTGTGGATGAATACCGATTAAATGACATAAGCAAAACAAATATTACTTTTTCGGCTGCCTAACTGCAAGAAATTTTAACACTGTTGCTAGTTGATTATAGTTATATATAAAAATAGATATACTTAACATTTTAGCTTTGGCAGCAAAATTATATAAAACTAAAAATAAGGGCAATACAACGATTGGGCGATAATATTGATTTATCACTATATAAAACAGTAAGTAAACATTATTAATTCTTAATTGAATTTATCAGTTTTCTTATCCGCACAATTTATTTGACTTGAAAGCACTGGTAGACATGGCAAGTGATACTAAGTTGTTCAGGTTTTTGGCAAAATAAGCAACCTAAATCTCTGTCCCCAATACCAACAGATATTCTTGGAATGTGCATTTAACTTATCAATTGATAACTTGATATTGTGTTTTTATTCCAGGACCCATTGTCTTATTGGAGCAGACAAAATTCCTGTGGAGTTTTCAACAAAGCTTATAATTGTGACGCTTCATTTCTTATAACAAGGTATAGTCTTCTATAATATGGAATATGTAAGGACAAGTGTCAAAACATGAAAAATACGAAAAAAGAAAAAAATTCAGTCATTCAGGAATCGAAAAGCACATAACAATGAGACATTTCTTTAATACTCGGACATAGTGAAAAACAAATAAAAAATAGTTCCAATAGTCTTGCTCATGAAAATATTCGTCGATACTGGATATACTAGCAAATTTTGATATATCTCCTATTACTGTACACAATGGTCTTTCCAAGCATCATTACCTTTCTGTGTAGAGTCAATTATCAACATTAATTATAAAAATGCAAACCATTATATACGTAGTTGCACATTTGGATATGTGTATGTTTACTTATGAATATATATATTCTCATTTTTATTTATTATATTCTAGTTTGTTTGCTTATATTGAAGGACGGTCAGTGAACCACATATTTCATTTTTTACATTGATATAGCATATACTTAAATATTCCCATTACAGCTCAGGAATTCTTGGAGACAGACAAAGTGCCTTTCACCAAGAGTCATATTTCTGTGCTGGAAAAGGTTGTGCAATCATCAGCTATTCTCCTAATATGAAGACTGATATGGTTGGACAAGCCATAGCAATTGAGCTAGGCCATTTGTTGGGACTGTTTGATGATGGTATAAATTATTAAATAAATTATGTTTGTATTAAATGGCGTAAAACGAACTTGATCACCTTTGTCGGTACTCCTTGCATGTTATATATCAATCATTGTTCATTCCTGCAATGTGATAATATTTGAATTACAACCAACTGAGATGTAGTTTGGTGTATTATATGCGTCTTTAAACACCTTTATTTTTATAACCTTGTACATCATCGCAGATATATTTATGTCACAACATACATGTATACTTTATTGTAGAAGAATGTGAATCAAATTGAATTGTATTTAATTAATTCTTAATAATAATGACATAATGACAATAGATATTGTATATATTATATGTAATACAAAACACATGTATTCGTAAATGTAGTATTGATGCTTCGCTATTTCTGTTTCAGAATCTCATCGCTGTGATCACAGGGAGGCTAACGGAAACATATGTGTTGCCGAATCATGTGTGATGAACTCCATGTAAGATTCTTCAACAATTAAGCAATATTAGGTCATTACTTGGCAAGTGTAGGGTTCGCTGAAAAGGAATGTGTTTGGTCTTTTGTTTTGTGCAAATCCTCAAATTTTACATAATGTGGGATAGTATGCAAGAAATGTATTACTAAAAGATCCATCTTTATGCATCTTAAAAAGTGTAAGTTGTGAACATTGTTTAACTTAAAATGTGCATGCCTTACCTTTATTTTTCCATTTTGTAGAACATCGATGGACATGCTACCTAAAACTTGGAGTTCTTGTAGTATTGGAAAACTGGCCATGGCATTATCAGTTAAAAATGAAACTCAATGCTTCCGAAAGGTAGGACAAAAAGAATTGTATTTCATACTACCATTTTGATGGTATTCCACCATTAAGTTTATAGTTAATTTTTTAATTAGATTTATGTGAAGCTGTTATAAAACTGTAAGTTTTATGATTTGGATTACATACATGTATGTAAGCACATAAATGACTACCTAAAAAGCTTCATATTTTATAAGAATTTAATAGTAGAATATCCGGAAATATACAAATGATAGAAATCTAAAATAAATAGATGAATATTTTATGCACTCGACTTGAAACTACGAGATATTTTTCGTGGTTGAAAGTCATAATGCTTATATGCATTTAGCGTAATGATTTATCAAAAACTTGTAAATATATTTATAAAGAAGGATTGTCCTTTAACATTTGCAGATAAACATAATTTTTATTTTATTTCAGCCTTCTTTGAGAGCAGCTAGAATTTTAAAAATCATTAAAAAATCAGGGGTAAATGAACATTTATATAATATTCTGTTGTGTTTTTAAAATCAGTGATTTTTATAACTGCACACGCTTAATTTATGATAACGTATGTACCAGGTACAAGATGTGTTAATAGGATCATGATATATTTTCTTTAGATACCTGGAGTATGTGGGAATGGTGAAACAGAGATTGGAGAGATATGTGACTGCCCCCTGCGTGTATGTATTCTTAATTCACGTATAGTTCTGATTGCTTTTATTTGTACCTTGGTTCAATATCGATCGTGAAAGATCTTCAGTCTTGCTTATAATCATGAGCAAATTAAATCCCCATAATTTAAGTATAGAAATAGGACTACATCTATATACACATGTGTAAGATCGACCCATGTAGTCTCTTAGATGCTGAATATCATCTCCTTGTACTATGCAAGAGAGTATGTAATAATTAGAATTTCTCTTTCATTGAAATGCATGTATTCGTTTCATTGTTTGTTTCCAATGAATATCGTTTCAAATAGTTGACATATTGATGAAAAGGTGGTAGCACGCTTGATTGATTCTTACAGTTATGCACAGAAGAGTTCTACAACGACCCAGAAAACAATTGCGACCCTTTTACCTGTAAGGTACATGTACTTGCGTATGCTTTTATATTATTAATACTGTTAAAACAAAATACAACGCACATATTAACTTGCTTTTATTCATTAACCACACCATACAATAAATTGGTACAATAAATACAATTTTCATATAATTTGGTTTCCTACTGTGTGTAGCAACTAGGTTCTGATCTGATGGAATTGACATTCTTGGATGAGGTAATGTACTTATCACGTATATATGTTGGAAATGTCATTGTAACACTGTGTGATTTCTAATATTAATTGTGTTTCGGGTGAAACAATTGCATTTGATTGTTATTGAAATGTGGTATTTGAAAAAATGCAATAAAAATTCTCTGTCTGACAATGTACATAAAAAAATAAGAGAATTGGGTAACGTCAAGATTATTTGTACATACATGTATGTGCGAAATGTTTTTGTAAGTATGTGTAATTTGTTTTGCACGCAATACTGTTAGAGAGTTAAAAATCAGTGTGGTTTTTAAGATACTGTATTATTTTAGGGATAGGATTTCGTTGAATATACGATGTAGTTTGAACATGTTATTTGTGGTTTCTTATGATTGAAATAGTATCAACTTCAGTAATGAGTAATTTGTCTATTGATACACACTTGGGGTATGCCATTCGGTATGTCAACTGTCTGTACATTGTCTCTGTTATAGCATGTTTCAAATAATTGGAATATCCATGTGTAAGACATGTTGCATTTTGCATGATAATGATGGACACGGTGGTGTTTTTATTTTAAATATGTAAAAATTCTCTCTCATCGAAACATTCTTAAATGTATGAATCATGAGTTATATATACGTGTTTCAACGATACCAAGAAGATTGATTAGACCGTGAAATCAGTTATAAAATGCTTACTGATTGAAATTACTGCTACATGACCCCAAATTTTGTTCTTGTTATCAACTTTAAGATACTGTCTTTTAACAATTTCAGGTCCTCCCCTCTCAGGATCTCCCCGTTGTCGGTGATGTAACTGGCCCCCAGATTATCCCTTTATGTGGTAATGGCAAAGTAGAAAAAGGTGAGGAATGTGACTGCAAACACAGGAGATTTGAGGTGAGTAGCTTATCTACCTGTCTACGTGTAAATCGGATGGGTATGATTCAAATGCAATTTTACAAAATCGTTTCAAAAAAGAAAATAGTAATTATTATTGACAAATATTATGTCTTCCCTTTATCGGTGCATACATCTGTATACATGTAGCCCGATAATCGATGGGTTAGTAAACCATCTCAGTTTTTAAAAATAAAGAAGGCAACGATTTTTCAATGTTCTAGTTCATTGTATCGTTAATTCTGTGAAATGTTTGGCAGAAGATACACGCACTCACACATACAATTCTTTTCAATTCCTCAATGTAATTGCCATTTTGATTATCATAATATATATATATAATCTTACAATATATATTTTCTCTAAAAACAGACTTGCGATGATCCAAGATGTGAGGCATTGATTTGTAAACTAAGAAGCTGTGGAAATGGAAAAATTGATGATGGTGAAGAATGTGACTGCGAACCAGATGGGGTGAGTACCTCTAGACATATATTTAGATGTATGTGCAGAGGGGGAGAAACCCTAGGGCTCAAAGATGACGTACGTCTAATGTAAATCTGTATTGATATGACCCGCCATCCGGATTGGTCCAAATCGACAAACAAAAGTGGCGGATTCAAACTTTTCTAAGAACGCTTCCAATAACATATTGTGTTGTTATTTCACAGCAAGATAAAGAAAGATGAAATAAATATGCTTAAATCGATTAGACATGATATATTCAAAATCTAACTGGTAAGAATTTGCGCAAACGAAGGTGTTACGCAAGAGACGTAATATGTTATTTGTGCCACTGAACGAAACAAACTATTATCTGAGTATAGCAGATTGGAACATGTGGAATCTATGATCTATGAATTGAACTTGTAAGATGAAAGTCAAATCAAGTTGCAACATGCATAGACGTGTCGCAAAAAGGTGGCGCATTTGTTTTTTAAGGGTATCGCGTGAATGTAACTTTGATTCCCCGGAATATAAGATAATATTCTAATTAAAGTTATATATCATTTTAAAGCTGTTTCGATGAAGATTTTAGATCAACTACACTCCGTTCACATTTTTTGCGCGTTCGTTTTTAAAAAAGAGTTTTTTACCAAAACATCTGGCAAATATCCCATGTTGACACGTTACATTTTGAATTATTTTTCGTCTTTAAACGCTCATAACTCAAACAATATATGACTATTATACTTATTTTTCGTCTTGATAAAGGTAGATGGAAGTTTTAATTCAAAGGATGAATTTTAGTAAGCGTCCCATATTGTGACGTCATAGAGTCTGAAAAATAGAATCTGTTGACAGCGACCTTTTTTGCTCATTTTTTGGTACCTTCAACTTTTCAGGTGTACATTAAACAAAAAATACGAGATCAATTTTTAATAAATCATACATGATTATTTTGCTCCTAAACTCTAGTTTATTAATAATTAGTTGATTTTGTTCACAAAAGTATGTGTTTTCTGTTGTATGTGGAAAAGTGGAGGACGAAAGGTTTTCAAAATTCATTAAAATAGGGCTTAGTGCAGTCAGAATGTGGGTTTCGGCGTGCGTTCAGAGGGATTTTATGGGGCATAATTTTTCATGTTACTACTATGATTATACATATTTGTATGGATTATTAGATCTTAGTTTTTCAGCTTTTAGATTTTGTGGCCATTTTACCCCCCATGGGCTATAATTTGGACCCCTACTATATAATTGGGCAAGAACTCAAAAAATACTCAGTGGAATGTTTCCAAATTACTAAGTTATATTGGTATGGGCTAATTGAATATATGATAAAAATTTCATGCCACATGGTTAACTGGTTGCCATGGAAATGGATAAAACATGCCCTTCGGGTGTCAATTTTCAGGCCAATTTTTCAGGACTGACAGAGTCATTTCATGCATATTTTGTCACCAATGTGTTAGGAAGGGTTAAAATGTCAATAGAAAACTTCTATAATATATAAGCAACAATTGTATGTAAAGATCAGTCCACAAAACCTCAGATTTTGGCCTTGTATTGGTCCATGACTTATACAGGGGTCTATTTCATAGACTCGAGCTCCCACATTGGATGGATGCTATAACTTTTGAAATAATGGAGATACAGGTCTAATTTTTTCAGATCTTCATAAATGGTTAGTTTTAAGTATTTTATATTACTTTGGGAGCTGACATGTGATTGGTTGCCATGGTAACCAGGGTTTTAGGGAAATTCCGACCCCCACATTGGATGGATGCTATAACTTTTGAAATAAGGGAGATACAGGTCTCATTTCTTCAGATCTTCATAAATGGTTGGTTTTAAGTATTTTAATATACATTTGGAGCTGGTATATGATTGGTTGCCATGGTAACCAGGGTTTTAAGGAAATCCTGACCCCGACATTGGATGGATGTTATAACTTTTGAAATAAGGGAGATTCATGTCTCATTTTTTCAGATTTTTGACAATGATTGATTTAAAGTATTGATTTAGACTTTGGGAGCTGAAATTTGATTGGTTACCATGGAAATCAGGGTTTTGTTGAAATTCAGACCTCCACAATTGATGAACACTATAACTCTTAAATACAGCCAGATAAGATAATCTTTTCAGATGTAAGATAATAATAATATGTGTGTATTGTATTAGACTTTGGAAGCTAGGATTTATTTGTCTGCCATGGTAACCATGTTTCATTGTCATGGTAACTGCTGTTTTCGTTTTCAGATTCACCTTTATTCTAGATAGGTCAATACATGACATAAAATACCAAATTGCTCAAAGTTATCATTTTATTCTTAATTTTTTTTTTCTATTTTATATGATTTACATTCTCATGACTCAATAATACTAGAGATGCAAACATTGTTTGGCTCATAAAATATCAAATACTAGTAAACAATACATGTATGTCTGACAATATTGCCTTATTCCATACGACTAGTTCTTACAAAAGTTCTGACTCCTAATTGTTCATTTGAACTCATCATTACTGTTTTCATTTAGCACAATTTCCTCTTAACATCAATTTCTGTTGGAATGAAGGATTGTTTTGACCATTCTGGAGATAAGGATCCTCAGGGGATATAGTCCATTCATGCAGTATTGGACTTGGCAGAATGGGTTAAGACTGATCCCTGTGGTTTCACTGTATATAAAATTGGCTGGGGTCCAAGGCTGAACCCTCAGATATCAATATGTTCCCATCAAATCTGTCAAATTTGAATGTGTTCCGATATCAACCAAAATAATGCCCAAAAGCCATACCAAATGCCCAAATATATGACCAGTGCCATACCAAATATCCAGATATGAAAACATGGCCATTGAAAATTTCTAATGCCTCGAGAAGAAGGCAGATCATTGAGGAAAACAACCAAAAACAACCTCACATTAAGGATATACTAGATCAATGCCATACATGTGCAACAAGTGAGGGGCAACATATTTTTCACAACCATTCCCAAATTCGACCATTGCTATACCTCTCAAGTCATAATTTGGAGAGCATTCTCATACCAGATCCTAAAATTTGGGTCCATTGCCATATCAAATGTCAAAAGTAGCCCACCTGATCTGAGGATCCCCTCAAGGTTTATATACAGTGAACTCCTGGGAAACGGGGGGTAATGTTTCCACTTCCAAATATAAGTTTTATCATCCATCCTCTTCAAATGTTATAATGAGCAATCATTACAAGATGGAAGAGTTCAACATTTAATTCATTGCATTATATTAGCTGCTATGAAAGCAGTCAAGGACCAATCTTGAAAGATGGGAAGAGTTGAAATGTCAACACCTCCATAAGTGAGGGCAGGACTGTTCTGTTTTTGAGAATATCTTATGTGAAACAGCTCATATTGTTATCTATTGATGTAAGTTACAAATATGTTTTTGTTATTCTGCTGTACTTTTACTGGTGAACAATTCAACTTTGGATTTTATTGTGTCAGGAATTTTTATATTGATTCCTATTATGAAGAAAATAACCTTAAGAACCTCAACTGATGTGAACTCTGTCCCATTAGATGTTAGAAGCTCAACCCAACCCCTGTAGCTGCAAACCTAGGACCAAGTCCTGTGTTAAGCTATATTAGCCTTCAATGCGTTTCCTGGATCAGATTCCTCCAGTGCAGAAATACAACAAAACAGCAGAAATAGAAAAATAACTGCCACTAATAGAATATGAGATGAGCTGTTTCCCATGAGATACAGAAAAAAACAGAACAGTGCTGCCCTCACTTATGAAGGTGTTGACATTTTCTTTCACATTTGAAGAGGGTAAATTATCAAACCTATGTATGGACACATTCCCACCACCCTAAACCCAGCTCTACCATTATGCCTAACACTGCATGAATGAACTGTGAATTCCCTGACGAACACAAGAATGGTCAAAAGAATCCTTCTTTCCAATAGAAATTGTTGATATTTTTAATTAAGAGGCAATTGTGGAAGATGAAAACGATAATGATGAGTAAAAACAAGTTGGGAGTCTGAATATGTGTGAGAACTAGTAGAATGGAATGAGGCTATACTGTCAGACATACAGGATAAATTGCTGAAATAAAGAGCAAAATGATAATTTTGAGCATTTTGGTATAACATGTTGTGAATTGACCATTCTCAAATGAAGGTAAGACTGAAATAAAAAATTAGGGGTACCATGGCGACGAAACATGGTTACCATGGCAATCAAGTAAATGCTAAGCTACAAAGTCTAATTCAATACACAAATCTAATTAATTTTTAAGATCTGAAATGATGATATCTGTATCTGCTTGAATTCAAACATTAAAGCATTTATCAATTGAGGAGGTCCAAATTTCAATAAAACTCTAGTTACCATGGTAACCAATCAAATTTCAGCCCCCAAAGTCTAATTTAATATTTATAATCAATCATTGTCTAAGATCTGAAATAATGAGACATGTATCTCCCTTATTTCAAAAGTTATAGCATCCATCCAATGTGGGGGTCGGAATTTCCGTAAAACCCTGGTTACCATGGCAACCAATCACACGTCAGCTCCCAAAGTAAAATAGAATACTTAAAACTAACCATTTATGAAGATCTGAAAAAATGAGACCTGTATCTCCATTATTTCAAAAGTTATAGCATCCATCCAATGTGGGAGCTCGAGTCTATGAAATAGACCCCTGTATAAGTCATGGACCAATACAAGGCCAAAATCTGAGGTTTTGTGGACTGATCTTTACATACAATTGTTGCTTATATATTATAGAAGTTTTCTATTGACATTTTAACCCTTCCTAACACATTGGTGACAAAATATGCATGAAATGACTCTGTCAGTCCTGAAAAATTGGCCTGAAAATTGACACCCGAAGGGCATATTGTATCCATTTCCATGGCAACCAGTTAACCATGTGACATGAAATTTTTATCATATATTCAATTAGCCTATACCAATATAACTTAGTAATTTGGAAACATTCCATTGAGTATTTTTTGAGTTCTTGCCCAATTATATAGTAGGGGTCCAAATTTTAGCCCATGGGGGGTAAAATGGCCACAAAATCTAAAAGCTGAAAAACTAAGATCTAATAATCCACACAAATATGTAAAATCATAGTAGTAACATGAAAAATTATTTCCCATAAAATCCCTCTGAACGCACGCTGAAACCCACATTCTGACTGCACTAGCTAATTTACGCCATTCGCCTATTTTCAAGCACAGTAACACGTATATTTATTTCACCTAAAATATAAACTGATTCGTGTTTTATGATGCTCCTAGCCCATTAACAATATATATATGATATCAGAGTTATTCGTCTAAAATGTTTTGAGATATATAGGTAAATGTGGAGGACGAAAGGATTTTCATGTGTGTACATTTTTCTCAAAAACGTCACATTCTATCATGTTAAAAGTGAGGATCCTCTGGATTACGCCACAAAATGTGTAACAATGCGTGCGCGAGCTTTTTGCGACACGTCATAGTTTTTGATATTTTAGGCTTGCTGGAACACTGGTGCTGAGTCCAGCGGTTGCTGTAACAGAAAAACATGTAAAGTAAGGGAACTTTGAGGAGTGTAAAAATCAAAATTTATTTTGCACAATTACTTCCTGTTATGCGTTGAAAATTACAGTGGTATAGTTAAAGTAATATTATGACTTTTTGGTGATATAATGACCAAGCATTTTTTAGCATAGTATTGTCAAATGGCGAATTTAGCTAATATCCCAATCCTACTTGTAGTATGATACTTTGGCTGAATGTACATATGCAAATATGACAGGACTTTGTAACAGTGGGGTTTGTACTATAAACAATCCCTGCTCTACGTTATTCAAAATAGCAGGTAATATGAACATGTGTGACATGTTAGATTTTGATAATAATAAAAGTCGCATATTCAATTTCCTAATCTTTTTTAATATTTTGTGTTGAATGAATAATTGCATAATTGCTTGCCAGGTCTGTGTTTCTTATATCACAGCTGAGCTTAAGTTTATACAGTCCCACTGAGTGATACATATTAATTGTTAACCATATATATACCATGGTACATTTATGGACCTTATCTTAAATCATAGTGGTAACTATCATGATTTGTAAAACCAATTTCTCGCTTTTTTACATCAAAAATAGGTTCAACGGTGCCTGGGGAGACCTATAGGAAAAACTCCCTACAAGGAGAAGCGTCTCTTTTTGCCGGCGCTGGAGCTGCTGTAAGACTTCGATATAGCGACTTCAACAAGGAAGGGCAAATGTGGCAGCCTTATGTTGTAAAGCAGAGTGATGGCACCATGATAACATCCTCTGATTATCCACAGCTAGACATAAGTGGGTGAGGATACGATTTCACATTATCACTTGGTGTCTTTGTAAAAATTTAAAAATGAATTGAGTCTTTGTAATGAGTTTAGATTTAGACAACGGGCACGTTATCCCTGTTCAGATCCGGTATCAGAGTTCAGATTTTGACTCCGAGGCAATACTTTAAGTTTAAATTCAGAGTTTGGTTTAGATTTGAATTTTGAGTCCGTGTAGTGAGTTTAGTCTCTCTTTAATTTATTGATTTGTATTTATGGAATCATTTATCACAATCCGGAAGTTTTGGCTCATCAAATTGCATGTTAAAGAACAAAAACTATTAGATGTTCATGTAACACTTAATGTACCCTTTGCATTCGTTTGACTTGCACTTCTTAAAAGAGAGCTCTGTAGTTTAACTAGACTCTGCACGCAGGGTACACTCAATGGTTTGAATCCACAGTCAAAATATTTAATTTATCGCAGGGGAACCATCCATTGGTAAAGCTGCTAGCGTAGTTCATGAAACACAATTGTTGCATTTGCACTGCACTCCTGATCATTACTTCGGATGTTGTGCTTTTGTTTCCTTATGCCTGATTGTACTCATTCATCAGAAAACATATTGTTGTCTTCGACCTCCTTCCGTTCAACTACTCCCAATGAATATAGACCTTTTTGTGATATTGCAGAGATTGTGGAATTGTGATCTGTGCTAGAGATGCAGCCATAGTGAATGAAGTAGATGTTGACTATTTCAAAGATGGAGCGCTAAAGTAATTTGTTTATAATTATATAATGACTGCTAGATTAATTTCATGAAGTTGGGTATTACAATTGAAGATTAGTGCATGCGTGTTGCCTTTTGAGTACTAGACTATACAGTAAAGTTCAAACTATAATTGTTCACACAGATTTTTATGGTATGCAAATATTCTAACAGAAGTACTACAGCATAAAATGAACGGTTCTGCTTATAAGAATGTTTATGGATTGATTGATTCGAATCAACTTTTAATTTATAGAATTCCCTATAGGAATATAGGGTTCGTATCTGTTGATGTTGGTTTCAATTCAACTATATGGACTGCAGAAATAGCTCGGCAGGGGACAAGGTGCACTGCCCAGGTTTGTCAGTTTGTTATACTTACCTCATATCTCTATTGAAAGATAAATGCTCCATAAACCAATTTTAGGGGAAAAAAATTATTTTGTATTGAATATCAGGTAAGTGTATTGAGAAGTGATTGGGTGTAATTAGTTCAGCTTCAGTGCACTGCATGTAACAGACCAGGTACAGTTTAAAATTTGATTTCTTTTATTTCTTTTGGGTTTACTGTTCCTCTGTTGGATGAGCGAATAGGGTATAATTAGTACAGTTTAAGTGCACTGCGTGTGCCAGTCAATCACCATTTGTGCCACACTGGTTTTGGACAGCTCGCCAAGTGTACATTCTTTTAAAACAATAGGAAAAGAATGTACTCATGTATGTTACAGCTGGATATCCTTTCAAATAAACTGCAGATCATTATATTGTGCTACAACCCAAGTGGGACTTAACTGCATTAACAAATGAGGACGAGAGAGTGTTGATCCTGATAGGATCTTTAAAATGGCGTTACATGATAAAATCAACATGGAAAGGAGTTCATTATCTTAATTGCAGTTTCCCACTTTGCATGCAGGTAGATATAGATGGCGAACTACAAATTGGTGTCTGCACTCACCAGATTAATCAATGGCAAGTCACTGATACCCGGACAGTTACATACAAGAGCGGTATATGCAACATACAGGCGAGAGAACGAGTGCGTACATATTGTATAAACATATAGATAAGTGAATTGTTTCACCTTATACTGGTCATAATGTGTTTTCTTCCAAACAAAAAATTACTTATGGTATTTGACCAGTCCCTCGGTCATTGAGAAGAGGAACCATCTTTCGATGTAGTTAACAACTTAACCATCAGATAAGCCTTTAAAACCGTGCGATTCGGTGCAGTATTCGACACATTCTTGAATAAAAATCATGTTCATAATATTATGTCATATGATCTCAATTGTGTTATTCTAATTGTAAAAAAAGACTTCTGAGTGTACCCAGTATGTGTAATTGGTCTTTCTATGTATTTTACAAGTTCTTTGTATTTTAGTGCATTGGAAAGAACACCAACAAATGTGAATTCTAAAACAGATACGAATATCTTTGGATGATCATTTGAAGACTAATCTAACACAAAACAAACTGAGTAATATCGCCTTTGGAATTCATCTGAGCATCTTATCAGTATCTACTGATACTAAATGACAGTTTTGAAATAATATAAAGTCGATTTTTAGGGGATTTAATTGAATGAATTAGCTACTTAATTATGCAAGGATGCGTGTATATTAACTAATTTGTAATACATTCCTGTGTTTATGTATCTACATGTTGTTCAATAAGTGTATAATTGCAACGAGGTGATTATTTCCATAAAATGGATCTTAAAGAAAATCTACGCCATCATTCAGTGAAAATGACAAAGGTGTTGAATAGGGTATTGAAAACAGTAGGCTATACTGTTTATTTTCTGAAAAAATGTTAACCACTGATGTCACATTATATACATTAGTATAGATAATTCAATTCACTGTCATCTGATGAAATAAATGTTAGTAGAATTTTATCAATTCATTCAATCAATGTATACTTAATGAACATTAACTTGTGAGTAAACACAAATTATGCATTTTCAATTTTGATTATATTAATAAAGGAAAAAATATAATATAAAACTATCAATGTTTATTGTTCATTCTATGTGCAGTGTCGAGGAAGCACCAGATCCTCTTCCGTTGCAGCTATACAGTAGAATCCCAATACGGATCATACACAGGGTCACTCACAAAATACAGCACGCTTTTTTTCAAACAATCTTGTCAATGTTGATGGCAATTTCCTGTGTAAATGGAGCTTGAGCAGTGGTATGTTTAGCAAATAGCCTCGCGGGGATGTTAGTTTGATATTTCTTTGCAATTTCCAAATAAGTAGTTAATTATGGAAGTTTATGTATATTTTACACGGACGGTATAAGACGTGTCATCTATTGATTTATTTGGAGCACTGTAATTTCATTACATGGAAGTGGAAAGATAATTTTAGTACTTAAAATTGATGTCTGACCCATTCCAAGCAAGTATAGCGAGGTCGCTTGTGCCAGGTTTCATGAAGTTTTCACAAAGTGAATTCAAGTTATTGTCGTCTTGGTTAATCACTGGTCCTATCATTTGGTCAATCTGATACTCATAGCATCTTTCTGTTTCACTTGATTACTGAGAAGAATTGAGATGTCATGGTTTATCATGATGTCATTTGGTAGTTATGCCAGACTTTAGACACTATAAAGCTGAAGCTTGTTTATAATATGACACTAGTTGCATGTAGTTAAGGTATGTAATAAGGCTGGCATCAGGCTTGTTACAAACCCTCATATCTATATTTAATGGAGCCGAGTTGGATCTGAGATGGCCCGTATTCTTACTGCATCTGTAGATACAAACCCATTATCATGTGTTGCTATCGTGACAACTGGCTTGACATCACCAGCTTCAGGTTGAATCTGTTCCGTATATTTGATAATATCAGCTTTTGTCGGTTCTATTTCACCATTGCTAATGTCTACTCCACTATCGTCTGAGTCTATTTTACTCATGCTTAATGAATTATCATCATTAGGGGGTTTGTATAGGAATTGTGCGAGAAAAAATAGTATAGCTGATACAAATTTAACTGCAAGGCCGAGTATAAGGAGATTAATGGCTAGTTTGTCAGAGTCATACACCCAACATGATCCTCTAGTGTCACATTTATTCTGCCACTGGAGACAAGTAATATCAAAGAGATAACCAAACAGTATTGGTCCTGGAACAGTCCCTGCAAATGAATGTAACACTGGTCAGAATTGTATTCAAAAAGTACCCGGGCCTTTGGGAAAAGACTGAATACAGTCATGTCATTAAGACACCTTAAAATAGCTGATTTGAATTTCCTCCGAACTTAAGATAAAAGTAGATGACCTTACACCAAATATAAAAGGTTGTAAAATCATAAATTAAAATGTTTGAAAACTCACCTAAACATCGTATGAAAACCCACTTTATACCAATAGCATATGATCTCTGAGCGTCGGGAATGACTCTTAAAGATACAGACATTGCTATAGGTGTTGCAATGAAGGTCAGAGTGACTACTATGCAGAATACAGGTAGAAACAACGCTAAAAGGTTGCAGTCTTGGGTACATTTCCCATATGTTGCTTTGTAAGCTTTTTCGGCTACTTTGCCCACCTGACTAATGCACGAACAGTTCGCATATCTCTGGAAAAATATAAAATCAACATATTTTAATATTTTGGATTAATGTACCTTCTACGTACATGTACATAACCCTCCTTATCGGCTCGAAAACACAAAAATACCTCCGACTAGAGTCACGGGTAGCCTATTAAATGACGGTGAACAAACAACTTCGTTCGTTGATATTGAATGGAGGCGAAAGTCTGAAAGTGTCAATGGTAACTCCAGGAAATGATAATATTTCATGAAATTCATTTTCCCAATTTTTCTCAAAGCTCCTTGAGAACAGCGGCTTTACCATTGATCATAAACCAGGTATACTAAAAGAAGACAAATTAACGATACTTTCCTGAAAAAGCAAGGAAATACACACAAATGCCTTTCATTTTATTTTGTGCCAGAAAATAACACGTGCAGTTATATCATATATCATTTTATCAAGTGTTTTCGTCCCACAATTACAAGCACCTTAAACTCTCCTTTGAAAAAGACATTCATTGCGATTAATAATGCGTGTGCTCAGGTAACTACAATATCAAATTCAGAAAGGGGCTTAAACGTGGTGGTAATACCTTTATATCTCCATCAAAGAAGGAATCCGCACATCCTGCATGACAGGGAGTGAAGTATTCGACTCCATCAACACCACATATTGGTTCATAGCTCTCTGATGTACAGTTGCAATTCTGGTTGCATGGAACTATCAAACTTGCTTCATCAATCGTAGAACTATATAAATATAACATTTTGATTAATTTAACTTTGGCGTAGGGTAACCCCTTTCACATAACAAAACTTTACACCACAAAACCAGCAATAGCATATTGATCGAAGGATGAACATTCAAATCAACAAAAAAACTAATTTCCCCAAATAATGCCCATATTTTGAAAAGGCAAGGCCCATTTTTGATAATATGGCCTTAAAAGACCTATAAAGGCCAAGCAATGCCCAAAAGGCCCACTTATTGAGGCCCTATAGTGCTATGGGTGACAATAAATGAAATATGAATCTGATGATTGATTGATTAATATGTAAAATGAAAGTCAAGACTTAACTATCATCTATACTTACAAATTAAAATATGACACATTAATTCCGCTAATGTTTGCGGGTTTGCACTTTGCAATGAAGCTGAATACCAGGACAAAACAGACGATGGTACTGCCCAAACACAACCTAAGCATGCCCTTCACCTTCAATTTAAACCGTTTGCTCAAGTAACCTCCGAGAAATTGTCCACCCGCAGCACCAACGACAGCGGCCAGCCCTATAAAGAGAATGAAATGGAGAGAGCGAATACCATAAATGGTAAGAACTAATGAGATAAGGAAGTCTTGATGATAGCTTGTATACGAGTAATTTAATGGTTGTGGTTTCTTAACTGATGCATTACCCTGCGCGCAGAGTCTAGTCATATTGAAGACGAAGCTCTCTTTTAAGAAGTGAAGTCGAACGAGTGCAAAGGGTACTGATGCACCAAATGACCTCGCTAAAATTCACCCAATCAACAAACAAGCAATTAAATCAGAAAATGAAAAGAAATTGTAACGAGGACCAAGTACGGCTGACCTAGCATTGAAAGGATTATGATAAATTGTTGATGAATACATAATACTGTGAATTATGTCTGGTTTACTGGCTGGTGTTGTTCATTCTGAATCAATCAATGTGTGTTCTCACCTCCATACAAAGCCGCCATCCCAGCACTTTGTGAAAATTGGTTCTGGATGAATTTAGGCATAAATGTTGCAAACCCGCTGGTCAGTAGGCCTTCGCTACATCCAGCCAGTGTTATACACATGAACGTTGGGTTCATTACAATAAACTTTGTTGAAAGAGGTAGGTCTTTAATGGATGTTCCGAACCCTTTCTTGCTAACGATCGCTTCACTTCCATCTGCGTGTGCTTGCGAATATCTTTCTGCCCGTGCATTTTTAGCTTCTGTAATATAATGCGGATGAAATGTAATATCACATCGATTCATCTGTCAGATATATCGTGTACACCAATGCGTGGAATCGTTCTTTACCAGTCATCCTTCAATCAAAGGATTTGTTGCTCAATTCAGCCCTTCATGCAAGGCCAGGCAGTTTCATTTTAGGGGTAATAAATAAGCTGAGTTTCCTAGTGGTCAACGCAGAAAATGCGTTCTCCAATTATAAAGTTCTATACATAATTCAATGGGGATGTTATGTTCTCCCTCTGTGACCCCTAATGAGATGCAAATTACTAATAAATTGGATTCTTAACAAGAACTGCATGCAGACTAGGGCAATAAACTCATTAGTAAACACATTATGCCTGTTTATCACTGTGAAAATCTTTGTTGATTTTGACCTTTGATTAAGTAACAACTGTCCTGATTGACTGGTGATTTAATGGCTATTTGAAGGTTTGTTTGCTCAATCCCAACAATTGTATAAGCTGCATCAAGGGTATGTAAAGAAGTAAAATACCCTTGGACCAAAGATGATATATCATAATTATACAATTTTTAAATCAATGTTTCGCATAACATAACATGCAGCATACAATAACTAATTAGTCCATCTATGTAATACATCATCGTGAGATATCACAGCATTCTCTCAGTTTCCTTCTAGAACCATTCTTGTGCATCGCAGAGATGGTCTGAGTATCAGAATGGTAATACATGGGTCTCTTATATTGCTCTTATAACGAGGGCGATGAACCAAGTTTTCAGGCAGACGAATTCTCCAATTCTTACCTGGCATTTCGTAATCGTAGCAGAAGAGAAATGCGGCTGTGATTATTGAACAAACACAACCGATTGCGAACCCAATCCACCATGCTCCCACCCACCTCGGATCTGCTGGAGTTATAGAAATTCTGCAAATAGAAAGAATTGTTCAGTCTTGTCCGGTGTTGAGTGTATTAATTTTAAAAGCTAAATGTATTTTGGTTTCAGAAATCTTTAGAGAGGAGCATTGTTATAGCTATCTTGGCCCCTGGTCTAGTCTTGCACCCTAACAGTATATCCTTTCTGACTACTTTCTATCAAATGCATTTCTTGTTGGAGCCAACGTCAAAAACTATTGAATCGATCAAATTTTCCGCTGGATGATATTGCTTGGTGTAATCTTACCCCGCATTGGTTACAACGTCCACATATATGTTGAGAAATTGGCCCCCTGCTATGTAACCAATGGCAGGACCAAATCCTGAGAACGTGTACATGATACCTGAAACAGAATACAACGGCCAATACAGACTGCAAACCTCAAGAAGTCGATTAAAGATGTATGTAGGGTTCTTGACTCACGAATCATGCCCAAGATGGGTGTGGCTTCGAAGGAATGACAAGTGGACATCATACCCAGAAGGCTAGCTAGTCGATAGTCAATTAGTCATCTCAGTTTGCAAGTGGAAAATGATCAATTCCAATTCGGAACCCTCCATTTGAATCAGGTATTGTTCTAAAAGTTCCGAAACCAGAGTAGGGCGGACTACTGTGATGCCCAACCGATTATCGAAATTTGTTCAACGAGTTCTACTCACAGAGAATAGCAGAGCATGGTTATATTTATCTTAATGAGCAGTGTTAGGATAGCGACTGCGACACCATGACAATTTTTTGTTTCATAATGCTGTGATATTCATAACACTATCAACTTACCTATGTATAACGGAGACAGTTTTGTTTTAACATTTTCATCAATTACGACCACACCTATACTATACAGCGTAGTGCCCGCAATACCGTGGAGGAACTGGCCAAGCATGAGAACATACAGATAGTTTTGGAGAACATCGTTTTCTTTGGAACAATATGGAGCCGTCACATTATTTCCTAAATGAATATATGAATATTATATTTTTGTCTTTTTTGTTGATAATGATAATGGCGAAGTTTGGTATTTGTTACTTGGATCCTTTACTCCGCCATGGAATTTCACCTTGACCGTTCTGAGACTTCAGTTATTTTTCACCATGAGATACATTGGATGCCATAGCAAAAGTTCAATCTCAATGAATATTTTTATTTAAAAAATTGCCCTTTGTACTTTTGAAGACCGTTTGACTCATCAAGTGCTTTCTTGCTCAAAATTGCTCTATTGGCAAACTTCATTTTAATTTGTTCTACATCATTTATTGTAATGACCACAGTATAAAACATAAATAAAATGCCAATGTGTTTTAAGATTGGTATATAATGGTTTCTCGTGAATGGTGGGGTGCGTTATGGACTTCAACTGTTTCTTGATTGGGATGTTTTGACTTTGACTGGTTGATCTGTACTCTGTTTCTAAGTGTGGTGTCACGACTCACATGTGTTAACATAACTAGACTTTGGAAATTGAACGAAGTTCAATTTCAGACTCCAGATCTAGACTTTTTTAAGCCCAGTCATCTAAAATAAGCCGAGTCATCCAGAATAAGCTGAGTCATCCAGAATAAGATGGATGGATAAAATAGGAAGGTAGGATAGGATAGAATGGGAAGGAACGATAGGATAGAATAAGAAAGCAGAATAGGATAGAACAGAATAGGAAGAAAGGAGATGATAGGAGAGGATAGGAAGGATAGGAAGGAAAGGATACAAAGGAAGGATAGATAGGAAGGATAGGATAGGATCAGATAGGAAGGATGGATGAATTTTTCAATATTTTCTTCTCTACTCTTGACTTTCTATCAGGATACCATCAGATCGATTTTCCGAAATTTCAAAACGCCATAACTTCCGAACCGGAAGTCGGATCTAAATTTGATTTAAAGTTTCGGATTCCTGACAAAATTCTACCCCTAATTCATAACTCATACGTTAAATTTGGCGAATTTTTATTTTGACCTTCTTTTTGGACACGCCATTACTTCGGAACCGGAAATCGGATCGAAATTTGGTTTGCAGACTCGAATTCCTGAGAAAATTCTACCCTTAATTCATAACTCATATGTTAAATTTGGAGAACTTTTTTTTTTGACCTACTTTTCGGACACCATATCTTAAAAGTGGGTCGAAATACTTTTTGACGGCAAAATGCTAACACTATTAGCACACTCTTTCTTACCTGTATACAAAATTTTGAAGCAAATCATTTAAATATAGTGTCAGAATCGCAAAAATAAGGTAAAACTATGAATTTGACCTAGATTTTGACCTAGGGATTTTGGTGTCCAAATTTTGAAGTTGGGTAGCCTTCGAGGTCCCCTTCTTTCATAGGCTTTCATTATTTTAAGCTGTACTTAGTCTATATCTCGTATTTTACACTTCAAAAAAATCTTTTATCCCATTGACATAACATGGGGCACCAAATTTAGCGATTTTTGAGCTTTCAAAATGTCATAACTTCCGAACCCCAAGTCGGATCGAAATTTGGTTTGCAGATTCGGATTTCTGAGAAAATTCTATACTTAATTCATAACTCAAATGTTAAATTTGGAGAATTTTTTATTTTGACATACTTTTCGGACACCATATCTCAAAAGTGGGTCAAAATACTTTCTGACGGCAAAAGGCTAACACTATTAGCACACTCTTGGCTACATGTATACAAAATTTTGAAGAATATAATTAATCTGTAGTGTCAGAATCGCAAAAATAAGGAAAAACTTTGAATTTGACCTAGATTTTGACCTAGGCATTTTGGTGTACAAATTTTTATGAAAAGAAGGTTTTGAGGTCCCTTTCTTCTATGGGCTTCCATTATGTTTAGCTGTGCTTAGTCTATATCTCGTATTTTACACTTCAAAAAAATTTGAATTAACATGGGGCACCAAATTTAGCGATTTTTGAATTTTCAAAACGCCATAACTTCTGAACCGGAAGTCAGATCGAAATTTGGTTTTCAGATTCGGAATCCTGAGAAAATTTCCTATTAGACTGATATCCTGGACATTGGATTCGGAGAACTTTTTTTGGACCTCGTTTTCGGACACTGATATCTCGAAATCGGTTTGAGATACCAAAAAACTAAATCGACCCTAGATTTTCTACTTTTTTATGAGGAACACAATGAAAAAAAACCGGATCCAAAATATTGAAGGACGACCGAGAAAATCGAAAAAAGTGACAAAGTACTGGATTTGACCTAGTTCTTGACCTTTGACCTAGATAAAAAATTGACCCAATTTCCCACCAACTAGATACTGAACCTAAATAAACTGTATTATGGTCCTTACTGGATACCTCATAGTTATTGAAAAAACTCCTAAAGAATAATAAGAATAAGAATAAGAATAAGAATAAGAACTAGACTTTGGAAATTGAACGAAGTTCAATTTCAGACTCCAGATCTAGACTTTTTTAAGCCCAGTCATCTAAAATAAGCCGAGTCATCCAGAATAAGCTGAGTCATCCAGAATAAGATGGATGGATAAAATAGGAAGGTAGAATAGGATAGAATGGGAAGGAACGATAGGATAGAATAAGAAAGAAGGATAGGATAGAACAGAATAGGAAGAAAGGATATGATAGGAGAGGATAGGATAGGAAGGACAGGAAGGAAAGGATACGAAGGAAGGATAGATCGGAAGGATAGGATAGGATCAGATAGGAAGGATGGATGAATTTTTCAATATTTTCTTCTCTACTCTTGACTTTCTATCAGGATACCATCAAATCGATTTTCCGAAATTTCAAAACACCATAACTTCCAAACCGGAAGTCGAATCTAAATTTGATTTAAAGATTCGGATTCCTGACAAAATTCTACCCCTAATTCATAACTCATACATTAAATTTGGCGAATTTTTATTTTGACCTACTTTTTGGACACGCCATAACTTCGGAACCGGAAGTCGGATCAAAATTTGGTTTGCAGATTCGGATTCCTGAGAAAATTCTATACTTAATTCATAACTCAAAGGTTAAATTTGGAGAATTTTTTATTTTGACCTACATTTCGGACACCATATCTCAAAAGTGGGGCAAAATACTTTCTGACGGCAAAAGGCTCACACTATTAGCACATTCTTGGCTACATGTATACAAAATTTCTAGGAATATAATTAATCTGTAGTGTCAGAATCGCAAAAATAAGGAAAAACTTTGAATTTGACCTAGATTTTGACCTAGGCATTTTGGTGTCCAAATTTTGAAGCTAGATGGCTTTTGAGGTCCCATTCTTTTAAAGGCTTTCATTACATTTAGCTGAACTTGGTCTATATTTAGTATTTTTCACTTCAAAAAAATCTTTTTTCCCATTGACTTAACATGGGCACCAAATTTAGCGATTTTTGAGGTTTCAAAACGCCATAACTTCCGAACCGGAAGTCGGATCAAAATTTGGTTTGCATATTCGGATTCCTGAGATCATTCTTCACTTATTCCATAATTCACATGTTGAATTTGGAGAATATTTTGTTCTGACCTACTTTCCGGACGCCATATCTCAAAATCGGTAAGAGATATCAAAAAATAAAATCGACAATGTCTTAACCTACTTTTTTATTAGGAACACAATGAAAAAAAACCGGATCAAAAATATTGAAGGACGACCGAGAAAATCGAAAAAAGTGACAAAGTACTGAATTTGACCTAGTTCTTGACCTTTGACCTAGATAAAAATTTGACCCAATTTCCCACCAACTAGATACTAAACCTAAATGAACTGTATTATGGTATTTACTGGATACCTTATAGTTATTGAAAAAACTCAAAAAGAATAATAAGAATAAGAATAATAACTAGACTTTGGAAATTGAACGAAGTTCAATTTCAGACTCCAGATCTAGACTTTTTTTGGCCGAGTCATCCAGAATAAGCCGAGTCATCCAAAATAAGCTGAGTCATCCAAAATAAGCTGAGTCATCCAGAAAAAGATGGATGGATGGATGGATGAAAAAGGAAGGAAGGATAGGCTAGAATAGGAAGGAACGATAGGATAGAATAGGAAAGAATGATAGAATAGAATATGAAGAAGGAATAGAATAGGAAGGATAGGAAAGAGAGGATATGAAGGAAAGGTAGATAAGAAGGATACGATAGGATCACAAAGGAAGGATGGATGCATTTTTCAATATTTTCTTCTCTACTCTTGACTTTCTATCAGGATACCATCAGATCGATTTTTCTCGAAATTTCAAAACGCCATAACTTTCGAATCGGAAATCGGATCGAAATTTGGTTTGCAGACTCGGATTCCTGAGAAAATTCTACCCTTAATTCATAACTCATATGCTAAATTTGGAGAACTTTTTATTTTGACCTACTTTTCGGACACCATATCTTAAAAGTGGGTAGAAATACTTTCTGACGGCAAAAGGCTAACACTATTAGCACACTTTTTCCTACCTGTATATAAAATTTTGAAGCAAATCATTGAAACATAGTGTCAGAATCGCAAAAATAAGGAAAAACTATGAATTTGACCTAGATTTTGACCTGGGGATTTTGGTGTCCAAATTTTGAAGTTAGGTAGCCTTCGAGGTCCCTTTCTTTCATAGGCTTTCATTATTTTAAGCTGTACTTAGTCTATATATCGAATTTTACACTTCAAAAAAATCTTTTTTCCCATTGACATAACATGGGGCACCAAATTTAGCGATTTTTGAGCTTTCAAAATGTCATAACTTCCGAACAGGAAGTCGGATCGAAATTTGATTTGCAGATTCGGATCTCTGAGAAAATTCTATACTTAATTCATAACTCAAACGTTAAATTTGGAGAATTTTTTATTTTGACCTACTTTTCGGACACCATATTTCAAAAGTGGGGCAAAATACTTTCTGACGGCAAAAGGCTAACACTATAAGCACACTCTTGGCTACATGTATACAAAATTTTGAAGAATATAATTAATCTGTAGTGTCAGAATCGCAAAAATAAGGAAAAACTTTGAATTTGACCTAGATTTTGACCTAGGCATTTTGGTGTCCAAATTTTTATGAAAAGAAGGTTTTGAGGTCCCTTTCTTTTATGGGCTTCCATTATGTTTAGCTGTGCTTAGTCTGTATCTCGTATTTTACACTTCAAAAAAATATTTTTTCCCATTGAATTAACATGGGGTACCAAATTTAGCGATTTTTGAATTTTCAAAACGCCATAACTTCTGAACCGGAAGTCAAATCGAAATTTGGTTTTCAGATTCGGAATCCTGAGAAAATCTCCTATAGGACTGATATCCTGGACATTGGATTCGGAGAACTTTTTTTTGGACCTCGTTTTCGGACACTGATATCTCGAAATCGGTTTGAGATACCAAAAAACTAAATCGACCCTAGATTTTCTACTTTTTAAGGAGGAACACAATGAAAAAAACCCGGATCAAAAATATTGAAGGACGACCGAGATAATGGGAAAAAGTGACAAAGTACTGGATTTGACCTAGTTCTTGACCTTTGACCTAGATAAAAATTTGACCCAATTTCCCACCAACTAGATACTGAACCTAAATGAACTGTATAATGGTCTTTACTGGATACCTTATAGTTATTGAAAAAACTCTTAAAGAAAAATAATAATAAGAAGAAGAAGAATACTGGCAAAAACAATAGACTCCAGATTGACATCTGGAGTCTAATAAGAATACTGGCAAAAACAATAGACTCCAGATTGACATCTGGAGTCTAATAAAGAAAAGTACGAGGTAATATTTACAGTACTCGCAGATTTTAAACACATTCAATCTTTATGTTTAGATAAGATTATTCTGTACACATTTACACACCGTGGCCATGTATTGATCAGGTGATTGTTTCTGTTATCGAATGACTTTGCAAATATCTTAAACTCATGACTTGGTCTGAATCCATATTCAGTTTGGGTTTCGGTTGGAATGGAAGAACTAACCTTCAACTAGACACACGTCTGACAATGACGTTTCGGCACCAAGTTCATACAACCCGGACGCCATTTGGGGTATACACATCACCAAAGAACCCAATCCAAGTATCAAAGCAGCAAATGCCAAAAGCCGCGGTTTGTGTGTATGAGCTCCCCAGTATGTGATAGGAATTACAAGAATTGCAGCTGATATGTCGTATGAACTAGATATCAAGCCCACCCTAGCACTTGGCAACTGGTAGCGTCGTTCTAATGTCGAGACATTCACGTTGTTGATCCCATTCACAACAAATCCTGAAAGATAATATAATATTTTTGTGCTTTTGTACGAAAACACATTCTTGTTTAAGGACTTTACAAAGTAGATGTTATATAGCTAGATCTTGTTTTAGAAATTGTTTAGTTACTTATATATAGCGATTTTGTAATAACGGATAACAAGCATAATAGAGGTCCTTACTTTTGGCAACAGTGTTTTTGACATTTCTTCATTATTTGATATTTGAGCACTAAACATATTTCCATTTGACTCATATTCACATAACGGTATTTAGCAAATTGTCAATGACCTTGTATTTGATTTTATTTGTTTGATTCTTTCGTAATTGTTGGTTTGCCATGATATTCAAAACTGAATTGAACCATAATGTTTATGAGATTCAAGTAATTAATTCGGAAAGAAAAACAAATAAATCAGCAAGCATCATCAACAGTTTATTTGCATCATATATTTGTCGTCAATTAACATGATTATTACCGTGATATTCATTTGGAATCCAGTTTGGCGATTATTAATAAATACATATTTACAGACTATACAATGCAAGTGATCAGTTGAATCTGATAAAATCAAGAGAAAGTTGATATGTTTGTAATGAATGCGAGACCCACACAGCACAGTCAATGACCCACGAACCCATCTTGATTGACTGGCTACACATAGCTGCACTATTAATTTGTCACTTTTCAATTTTGCAAGCGAATAATGATCATATAGATATAGTTAAACCTAAAGTCAATATCTCTGTTTAATGTCTTGATATCATAACTGAGAGGTACAAGTTAAGATAAATTGGAAGAATAAAAAAACAAATACGAAAATATCGTTTTGAATACTTGGTTGACTTTTCTCATTTTTATTTCACTTTTCTATACTTTTACTTTCTTCGTGAGCCAATCTACCGATATTACAGGTTCCATGAAATGATGATATGCGTCCGTGATAATGACCCATGTATCTAGCACAAATTGAATAAAATAAAATGAAGAAGTTAAACTGATGAAGGATTAGGGATGTAGTTTGAAACATCTAAAATAAAATGTACCAGTAGAGAGAAATAAAAGGAATTACAATATACATTGTAGATATAAAACACTGAAAACCTGATCGATAAAACGTGAGATAAAGTTACGTTACCTTGAATCATTGAGAAGATGCACATAACAACAAGGAACGTTTTTGTGTTGTTACACCTCTGGAGCATACTTGGGGCACAGCTGCCATATCCACAGCTCAATTCAGGGTCCTTGATATCTGTACCGTGTGTCGGCTCCATTGCTTTAGCAATAGCAGTATCTGTCCCATTCTCGGTGATATTGCCATATAAAGAGACATGACCATTATTTTCAATGTTTTTCATATCTCCCTGGTCCTTTTTTGTGTCTGTGCCCATTTTACAGTCGTGTTTGTGGGCAAGTACTGGAATATTAGCTTATGCTTCTTGCAATATGTTGTTAAATCTTCTCAAGTAGAATGTATTTTTCACTTTAAAAATTGAACTTGATATAATATAGGTTTGCAATTTTACTTGAGCAATGAGTATATACACTTAATCCTGTGACCAATAAATGTATAATGCCTCTGTTATTTTTTATACAAATACAACATTCTGTATGTAAACTTTACTAACATATCGTTGACATGTTTACAATATACCTTTACAATGCTTAAAATCGATTTTGTGTTTTTAAATGTTCCCCGTGTCTTAGATTTCTTTCTCTCCGTTAGAATTCTCCAGCCAGTGGTGCCATTTTAGTTTAAAAGTACTTTAGGACTTTTGATATTGACTATACTACTTATAACGTTTAGCTTCTACTCATCGGATGACAGTGAAATAATATCAGTGTAGTCCCTATTGGTTCTATGTTATCAGTGTTGACAGATTATCAGATCATAAACACGTCAGGAACCTTCAATCTGGACGAGGGGCCACTATGTTGTATGACAGAACTCGGAGATTGTTGGTTATCGTTTTTTTAACAAACTAGACTTGAGATGAAGTCTCAATTATAATGATCCTTCAATGGACGGCGTGAGAGACATTTCAAAATTATGATTTTTAAATTACTGTTTTAAAAACAAGGTGCCATATGAAGAAATTCGAATTCATCTTCAGGAAAATATATAGAAATAACTAGATCGAGATATGCGCATTTTGTCCAAATACTGTAGGTTTCAAATGTACGAGAGTGCACAAGTACTCATTCATCAACTACTTTTATATGGCCATGTATGGGCTGATTTACTACTACCATTATCAGTTTATCAATTGTTATCGCTGATTTTTGGACATCGAACGATTATTCTACTAGGAACAGCTCATGTCACAAGTGGAAGTGAAACACATAAATTAACCATCGCAATTATTAAGATTTTGAAATCTTCAGATATGATTTTGTTTTATTTTACATGTAACCCTAATTTATTTTAAAAAAAGTGATAAATAGAATGACTAAATAGCATGACCCTAGAGCACCTTGATGCCTATCCGTACAACTGCTTATCGGATAGGTTTCAATTATATCTGAACTTATTGTTATTCAAATGCAATACGCAACATTTGTTCTTATCGTATGATCTGTAAAATGAAGCCCTCTGATTGGTCAGTTCTTGTGCTGTACCAATCTGTATTGCTACTGAGATTGTCCGCGTTGATCATCTCCGTCGCAATACAGAAAATATTGGTACGGAGGAGACAATCTCAGTAGCAATACAGAGGATAACACGATAAAAACGTTATTGAATGATTTGAAGTGCAATACAGGATATATTCTGTCTCGATATTCTGTATTGGCACTCGACTTCGTCTCGTTCCAATACGGAATTTCTCGAACAGAATATATCCTGTATTGCACTTCAAATCATTCAATAACTTATATTATTGCATTCTGTATTCTGTATTTTGTCTTTACATTGTTTTTAACGATGGGTTTCAAAATTGATTTTAGATACTTTGTTCAAAAATACACGTCAAGTGGTGTTTAAATTGTCTGTGTGTTTCTGATCGCCAGTGTTCCTGAGAAAAATATGTAAAATGACAATAACGTCAATTGCACAAAACTCATTCAAATATGATCAATCCATATATAAACGATCCATATTGGACTCACAGCCTGCGGGAAATTAGAAATTAGAAAGTCTTTAGCCCTTGCACTACTGAATCACTACTGATATAAGTACTTGACGTTGTTTGTCAATACATGAACAATTGTCCTATCTCAGTATTTGTTCGTGTGTCTGTTTGTTTGTTTGCTTGTTTGTTTATTCTTCAAGTGATGTGCGATACCACACAACGTCGTCGGTATCATAACAACGCCAATGCCCAATCCGGTATGAAATGGATCGAGAGTCAGGTTCCTTGTGTCAGAAGTTCTCTCACATAGGAGTGGACATGCATAAATTATTTAGCTATAGGAAATATTGGCAAAATGTGTCTCCCTACCACCATTCAGAAATCACCCATTGCTCTCCCCAACATTTTCAAGGTTTCTGTAAGATTTTTTGTTGGTATGGTAATCAAGATGAGGCTTCATTTATGTAAAAAAAATTAAATATGGCCTATTTTATGCGAGTCAATTTTATTTTATAAAACATCAAGTGATGCCTCCATTGCAATTTTGACATATCCCTGGGATATAAAGATGGATGAACTGATATTCTAAAAATGCCATTTAAGCTCTGGTATCAACCAAAATCCCATATCATCCAGTGTTTTACGTTTTTCGTTCAGCACACTTTAACCAGAAGTAACCGTATGCACATATCGTTCGGAATCGGAACTGGTTTGGAATTGGAAGAAAATTTGAAAACAAACTTCGTCTTTAGTTTATAAATAGACTCTGCGCGCAGGGTAGTCGATATCATATTTTCCCTCAGAATAAAATTCCTATTCATATATCCCTCACATTAGATATACCCCTGCGCTATATAATGCATAGCAAGATATGGATGACCACAATATACACTGAGTTCATGGCTAAGGCTCACTTCCGCCTGAGGTTGGTGTAATTTAATTGCTCGATATGTTAATAAGGAGGATTCGCAGCCATTAAAAAACTCGATACTCCGTTGCCCGGCGTGGAACAAATTAGTAAAAATATTTCATAAAATTCTCTTTGGACCAAGTATTTAATTAGAAGATATACATTACGAATATTATGGTAATATTCAAATTTCATTGGCAGTTCTAGTCTTCAAAATATGAGTAATATTTTTACCAAATTGGTACACGCCGGGCAACTCCAACATCGAGTTTTGGATAACGGCCGAACTCTCGTGCAGTGATAATATCACTGCGGCGGGCAGGTATCTCATCGTAAGCATGGTAACTTCGTAATAAGCAACTGACGTGATTGGTTCTAGTCCCATGCTCAGGTCGCGTGATTGTAAATTTAGACAATTTCATTGGTTGAATTGCGCGTATTAACTAATAAACAACACGTGCGGTAAACTATTATCAACAAAACTATTACTCAGAATTCCTTCCGCGGTGATTTCTTCTCATATTTCAATAATTTTGAAATATTTTGACAAAATAATGATCGGTGAACATAAAAGAACATATATTTTATAAGTTGTATGAAAATCAAGTACATCTGTGACAAAAAGGGGGACTATCTTCCCCAAATTTTGGGGATTCCATAATCTGCCCGCCGCAGTGTCTATACCGAGACACTGCATTGGAGTTCGGATAACGGCTTCCAATCCTCCTTGATATGTCAGAGGTTTCCAATATGGTTATATTATGCTGCCATCTTTAAACGAATGTACTCGACATCCATGGAACACTGAATGGCTGAAGCATGTCATGCCATCTATAATACATACCAATTTCAATATTAAAGTGGAACTGTCAAATAAAATGGACATGTGTTTAAGTCAATAGTAATAAGGTAACCAGAATGTTCACTAGCCAGATGCTACCATATAACTATGAAACTACGAAATAAACTATTCTTTTATATGTATTTTATAACAAAAATAAGTTTTTATTGTTGTTTTCAATATATCCCTCTTGGCTTTCTAATCGTAAATTCTATCCTTACCAAAAATGATAGGGTATAAAAGTGATAATTAATAATGATTGCGCTAATGTGTATCTAGTTTTTATATAATGATTAGAACATTGGCATAGTGCATAATATATTATATTATATATATAATATATATATATATATAAATCCCTACTTTACGGCAAACAGTGTAACCTTCTTCAGTGCCATTTTCTAATTCTATCATCTACTGACATTCACTCGATCGTAACGATTCTATTTATTCAGACACTAGGTTTACTACTCCACGACAGTTTAATTAGGTATGTGACTGAGATGGTATTCCTTTTATTAATACACAAACTATTATTACCAAGTAATACGTTTTCAATGAAATACAAATGAAGCATGTGAAGCCAGAACGATATTTCCATTGTGCATACCCAGGATCCTGGTGTTGACAAGGTCTTACGTGTGCGAGATAGTTCATATTGTCTATATTTAGTTGTTCATTAAGGTGTCTTAAACATTCAAGTTAACCCAATTAGTATAATACTGACTATGACATTCACTTTCAAAATAAAACCAATGGACGATACAATATTACGAGGGTACATCGGGTGCTCATTGTAAAATAGTGTTACAGTTGGGAACAAAAATAAATGACAGGTCGATTTTCTATCACCATTTTCTAATCATTGTCGTCTGAAAGCCCATAATTTCTAATATTGTCTAAATACATATCCCTTAAAATTTGTATATTTTACATTTTGTAAAATCTCATCCAATAAAGTATAGCCTCTTGAAAATTCTCACTTCAGCAAATCCACCTGTCATTTATTTATGTTCCAAACTGTACTTGTAATACCTAAACTAGCTACTGAGCAAACTAGAATTACAAGTTTTTCCCACATAGCGTAACTGACAGTGCTCAGACATTCAATCACATTACACCTTTTAGTTGATGCACCTAAAACAGTCATTAATTCATCCTACTCTTTTCCTTAAGCATAGTAAAATTTGCATAATCCTTTTTTTGTTAAAAGCAATGAATGACGGACTAATTTCCTATATAGCATAGGAATATAGCATTAGAGAGGTACCGGGAATGAAAATAACATCCGAGTTGTATTACCTTAAGAGTGATTGCAATAATACGAAGGACTATAATAAAATTTGTGTTTAATGTATTTTAGAATGATGATATATGGGATTATAGGAAGATCAAAATGGATAACACGGATGTACATAGTTTACAAAACACAATTTAGCGTGAAGCGTTTGTAAAACAGCAAGGGCGCGAGTCCTCATCAAGTACGTCATTGTCATCAAGTACTAATTGATCACATTGTACTCGGTCAAATACCTTATTATCATGATTATTACCACCTTGCCGGGCCAGTTCTAGGGGTTTTAGTGCTGGTTTAGAAGGCATTCATTTTACTATATCGACCTGAGCAATATGTGACGTCATAGTGGCTGTCAATACTCCCGGTTAACCCCAGAGTTCAAAGATGACATACGCTTATAATGTAAACCTGTATTGAGATGACATACACCTCTGAT